CCCCCCCCCCCCCCGGCCCCTTGCTGTCCCTGCCCCCACTGCCATCTCCGGCTCCCCAGCCCTCGGCCGGCTCTGAACCTTCCCTCCGTAGCCACGAGATGGCGAGGACGAGGCTCACACCGACCGCGGAGGGGAGCGCGTGGGGGATGTGGCCGTGAGAGCAGCTGAAGCCCCCCGCCAGGGCCTGAGGGAGAGGTGGGCTGAGGCCCTCATTTGATTTCCTGTCATCTGGGCCCGCTCACAGGAAACTGTGGGCGGGGTGAGGGGTAAAGGGCATGGGGATGGCGAGGGGCTGAGGACTGTCTCCGCCTCTCCGGGCAGGGGTAAATAGTGGGGAGGGGGGCACGCGGGCTGGTTACTAAGCAACGCAGATTGGCTTCCTGTCTGCTGGCGTTTGTGGCTGTGACTGGGAGAAAGCGTGGGGAGGGGAGACTGTGGGGAAGGTCGAGGGCAGGACGCCCGGTTCCTCGGACCTGGGCGGAGGAAGGCGGCGAGGCACCTAGCTGCGGCGCGACCGAGCGGGACTCCGCGGTTGTCCGGAGGGAGGAAGGACCCGGGCGCAGCGCTCAGCTCGGCGCTTCTTCCTCCCTTCCTCCCGGGGGCTGCTTGCCCGGTTGCCAGAGTAACTGGAGAGCGAGACTCTGCAGCCGGATTCCCAAACTCTACCGTCCATCCAATCCGCTCCAGCGGACGTCCCTGACATCAGGGCGCTGATAGCCAATGGAGAAGGGACCTAATGGAGCGACAGGAAGGAGAGGGGAGGGGTATGGGTGGAGGCAGGGAGGAGGTAGCTGCCCGAGACCCGCACGTGCACTCCCACACGCTCGCGCCCACCCCCCTCCTGCCGCCGCACGCGCCCGAGCACCCCCTTGCGCCTGCGCGGCGAGTCAGGCGCTCCCCCAAGCCCCCGGGTCTGAGTCTGTGTTTGCAAACTAGTCCCGGGCTGCTCTTCAGTCCCCGGGGACCCAGCAGTCTGAGTCGGTCTGCGCGCTTTTGCTCGGTCGCGGCACTAATGCCCAGCCTCGCAGGCGAGTGCCGGCTACCTGTTCTCCACTGCTCCCCCGCCGCTCCGAGCTGGCGCCCCAGGCTCCCAGGTGGGCTGGGCGGAGCTGCGGTTTCCGGCCCCATATGCTCAGCCGCTGCCTACCAGGGCTCTGGCTTAGGTTGCTTCTCCAAGAAAAAGGGAGCGGGTACCAGCGCCCCTTCCCCGAGC